ACATGATGCATATGCAATGTTTTAGCAAAAATTGTACAGTGTAACACCGAGGGTGTTACACGAATCGACTGAAAATAGCCGATTCAGGTGGAAAAGGGATTACAATATGTGAATAATCGACTATTTAACATGAACATATCTATAAATTCATCAGACCTAACATATTATCCTTAACAGTGGGGTTTCGACCGGATCGATGGCAGCCATGATAAAGACAACAAATCAAACCTTTAAAACAGACAGATCTATTCACATTTAACAGGATCATGAAAACATGCTGTAAGCGTTAAAGTACGAGCAATCGGCTATTTAGCCGATACAGGCATAGCAAACAACCAGGGTCATGCCTGGTCGAAAGCAAATCTACCAGCCAGCATCCTCCGATCTAAAGTACTAACAGTGGAGATCGACCGGATCGTTACATCCATGGTAGTGAGCTATAGACCAGATTCAACTAACTAGTAAACCTTCTCAAGATCAGACATGCCTTAATCGCGTACTATGTACGATCAAGATCGAAGTAGAACAGCCGATGAAACATAATCCGTCGTTTAAAGCAAAGACCGTCGCGATGTAACAAAATAAACGATGAACTAAAAGGATATGAGGCCGATCTAGATCGGGCAGGTTGATATTGCTGAAACTAATGACAATAAGAACATCAGTAAGATCGGTAACTTAATGAATTTATCCGAAGGATGCCACCCTTAGGTAGAGCCGATAACTTGACCTTAACCTAATTCGAGCAGTGGAGGTCGAACTTAACCGATGCAGCCGTACTTGAACTAGATAAGGATCAATAACTAGCTTATACTAGAGCTTGTAAGTGGTCGGCCGGACCGATGTAGCCTTACAAACAGAAGTATAAGCCATGACGGTACTTACAGATAAGCCGGAGGTCGGCCGGACCGATGTAGCCCTGCTTGTTGAAGAACTCGCTGAGATGTACACTACTCCTACTCCTACTCCTAAGGGTTGGCGTAAAGCCGAAAAAGTAATTGGTATTAATTGATTGGATGATTTTTTACAATAGCCGGGGTCCAATATTTATACCCGGAACCTAAGCATGAATCCTACTCAAGTACGACTTATTATAACTTTTGGTATCAAGAAAAACATTTCTAATTTAAGATAACTTGGACCATAATCTTTTCCTTTTTGTAGAGTCCGACATGTCTTTCCCGACGCCAACCGTAGCTCATTGGCGTTATCTGCTGATGTCATCCGAAGATAGCCGATCCCAGTGCCGCATCTGAATCAGCTGATATCGATCCTTATGCAATCGATTCATTGATGACTCAATCTTGAAAGCTTCGAGTTACTGCGTTCTTCTTCCCAAATTTTGGTGTAAACACTGTCATTATACTAAATTCATGTGAAGAATTGTTTAGGTTTCCTTTAATCTAATACCTCCAACTAGTGTACACAATTTGTTTATAGGTTGGTTGAATGAGGTAAATAGGAAACTGAAATCTCAAATTCTTGTGGGTGCAAGTGCTATATGTTGGGCGATTTGGTTAACTCGGAATGACATTGTGTTTGACAAGATCCTAGTATGATCTTATTCGCAGGTTATCTTCAGGAGGACTTACTGGACCAAATCCTGGTCCCTACTACAGAAGGAGGAGGATCGTTATTCGATGAAGATGGGATGTAGATCTATTGAGACAATTGCGATGGAGGTGTTCGCTAGATACGGCTGACGATTCAGCAACATACTTGCTTTTTAGTTGTATTTTTTTTTGAAAAGCTTGTGTTTTCGCTATGGTTCAAAACTTCGTTTTTGAAATTCCCTAGACCGTTTTATTCTTGTCTGTAATAAGGAACAACTATATGCATTGATCCATACAGAAGCTGTGATATTAATATATTGCCTTTTCAAATAAAAACAACTATTTAAACTTTTTTCAATATCGGCCTCAACACAACGTCACTTTCACTCTCCTGTAGCAAATTTTGCCTTCAATGTATAAACAATTTTTTAATATGGAACAACCGAGTGTTTTAAGGACGATCATCACTCGGTTTTTTTAACCCTTACACCTGAAATGGAGGGTACAGATCAAGTCTTCCTCGACCCTGGTCATGACGCTCACCCCCGCCTACGATAGCTTCCATAGGGCTACCACCGTGACACCCCATCCTAAACTGAAAATAAAGGTACCTTGTAGTATGGTATAGGCCATCGATGACCATGACCAGATAATTAAGATCATAAGAATGGGTTGGGCAGCCGCAGCGTGCAGGTATTATTAGTGATATACGTTGCAGTCATCTTTTCATGTCGGCCCCTCCCTATTTTCCGATCCGATCCGCCCCTTATTTTCAGTTGGCCTTTAGCAAATTAAGTTTTGCTACTATATACAGATTCCTCAACATATTATTATATAATAATTGAGCTGCGTTGGGCCATATATAAAATGCATCAATTTTGATACTTTCTTTTTGCAGGTAATCAATTTTGATACTTGAGATCGAGGTGGTATATTGGTAATCACCGAAGGAGTTGAACAACAAAACTGATCAATTTGTGCGTGATGGGTGCTAAATAAACAAGTAGGTAGGCATGTTTCGAACGAAGGAATATAAAACAGAAAAATGAAAAGGAAAAAACTCAAAAGGAAGATAAAATGAATAGTAAAAATCTATAGAGTTTCAAAACACAGAAATGGATACTTTGAGCCGTTTGGAATGGAGGGAAAACGGTACAAGAACATGAGCAAGCATATACATAGTAAAAGGGGGAGAGCAAAAATTCTTTCCTTTATATTGGAGTGGATGTTTTATTTCCTAGTTTTTTTTCCCTCTAGAAAGGAACGCAACATTCCAATCGTTCCAAACACTTTGAACTGATTCCTTTTTTTTTGGAATTTGTTCCTCCAAAATTTATTTGAGAGTCCTTTGATCCAAATATATTAGCGGCACATGGTTTCTATTTGGAGCCTCCTAACTGATTAGTTTTATATATTGCATAGAGCTTTTTTCCAGAAATATCTCTGCTTTAGTTACGTGTCAGCTTTTTAGTCTCTTTCTTTCCTTACATGAACGTGGATAAATATCTCTGATTAGTTTATCTCCTGAATTATTTTCTTTGTACGATTGATGCACTTTATTTGCTGCTAGAGTTAGCAACGAGTGAACCCCGCCACAAGTTTTTTTTACCGAGACCGAATCTACTTCGAGGGGACGTTCTGCCGTAACCAAGTCTGAATATCCAACCTCTGGTACCGCGTATCTGTATCCAAATACTCAAATCACATATCTATAATGTCGATATTCAATCATATTATATTCAACGTAACTGAAGTTACCTGTATCTAATCTGAGTCTAAATAAATAGAAATAAAAAAACAAATTTAATATCGGTGCTATCCGTGCGTATGCGATCCCTTTGCGTCCCTAAGCGCAGGAGGACTGGAGGAGTGTGGGAGGCCGAATTTTTTACTTTTTAGCCCTTTTTTCGAAAGTTTCTCACAAATAGACCCCTGGCGGAAAGAATTCAAAAAATGAACCCTAGCTCGGCGCCACCGATGCTGGCGCCGAGCTCGGCGCTAGCGTCCATGGCGCCGAGCCCCTGGGCTAGGGCAAACTTACATGGAAGGAAGCTCGGCGCCAGTCACTCTGGCGCCGAGCTCGGCGCCATAGATGCTGGCGCCGAGCTCGGCGCCGTTGACGATGGCGCCGAGCATGCAGTACGATGACTTGGACATTGTCAAATTTGATTTTTACCGTGGGACAGACATATGCAAAAATGGCTAAGTCTGAATTTTTGCTATGACTTAGATACTAGAATTACCATGGATATGTAATTTGAATTTTATTGTGACTTGGATATGTTACGGTCTGTCTCAATCTGTGATTTTACCATGAGATGGACATATGTATATTTACCACGAGATGGTCTGATTTTTTACCGTGGCTAAGTTCAAACTTGACGAGACTTGTTTTGTTGTCATATCCTCAGAGAGTACTCAAACTCGTAGTAAGGTATTAAATTGAGTTGCTATACAAATTTGAAAGATAAAATATCGCAAACATGTCAATTCACTGCTACAAAATAGCACTGTATTCAAACTTGTGGTCACTATTTGGCCATGTTAAAAACTGATTTAGGTTTAGGTCCAAAAACAAAGTTTGTTGTACTCAACTCAAACTACAACTTCTATTAAAGGTCAAACTTTATATTAAAAAAACTATAGTTTTACTGTGGTCAAAACTACATCATGAAAAAGGGTGTTAACTATTGATCCAACACTTAGAAACAATTTTAGGCTCGTTCATCAACATGAACCCTAGAGTGACTGGCGCCGAGCTTCCTTCCATGTAAGTTTGCCCTAGCCCAGGGGCTCGGCGCCAGGGACGCTAGCGCCGAGCTCGGCGCCAGCATCGATGGCGCCGAGCTAAGGTCCATTTTTTGAATTCTTTCCGCCAGGAGTCTATTTATGAGAAACTTTCGAAAAAAGAGCTAAAAAGTAAAAAATTCGGTGTGGGAGGCTGCTGCGGATTGGATTTGCAGCTGGACAATGAACGGACAATCAGGGGAAAGCTGCAAAAGCCCACATGTAAAAGGCTGCGTGCCACGTCACCCTCATCCCCTCCCTCTCCTGCAGGCTGCTGCAGCAGTCACCTGCTTGGTGGTGCCCTGGTCTGCTCCCTCGATCCGTTGGTGATGGACTGATGGTGTTGGTTTCGCTTTCACCTGCACCACCACCGGGCCCCGTTCGCTTGAACGTAACTCATCAGCGTTACCGTTTCAATAAAATAACATTATTTTTTTCTCACGATAAATTAGCATCAGTATTAGCTATTTTTTCGGCCAGCGAACAGAGCCAGACCCTAGTACACATCAGCGTACCTTGCCTTGTTGCCTTGGCCTGGAGAGATCCATCCATCCCTCCATTCATTCCTTCACAGCCTCGGGCCTCGGCCACTCAGTCAGTTCCACTCCCACAGCCTACTCTATCCGCTTGGCAGGCAATCAACCCTCAGCTAGCGACACCATGGCCATGGCGACGCAGGGGCTGGCTGACCAGGACCACGACCAGCAGCTGTCGGAGCCCAGCACCAACAGCAGCACCAGCCACCACGGCGCGGCCGCCGCCAGCAGCATCGCCACCAACCGCTGGGGCCCCTACTCCGGCGCCGGCGACTTCGCAAGCAACATGGCCGTCATCCTGGCCGCACTGCTGGCCGCGCTCGCGCTCGGCCTCGCGCTCAACGCCGCCGTGCGCTACCTGCTCCGCCGCGCCCGCCGCCGCGGCGCCGGCTCTGGTGACCATCAGGGCAACAGCGGCAGCGGCGTGTCGGTGGAGGACCCGGAGAAGCCGCCCGTGGAGCTGGAGGCGGCCCCGCCCCCGCCACCTGCCCTGGTGTACTCCGCGGCGGGCACCAAGCTGGCGGGCGCCGCGGCCGAGTGCGCCATCTGCCTCACCGAGTTCGCGGACGGGGACGCCGTGCGCGTCATGCCGGCCTGCCGCCACGGATTCCACGCCCGATGCATCGAGCGCTGGCTCGCGGGGGGCCGCCGCTCCTCCTGCCCGACATGCCGCGCGCCGACCGCCGTTGTAGCCGCCGCGCAGCCTGCGGATGAGTCCGCGGCTGCGTCCTGAATTACGCTTCCGGCTCGCCTTAATCTGTCGGCCGGCCAACAGTTTGGTTGGTGATTGGCAATGCTTTCCTTCTTCTTCGGATCATTCTTGGCAACTGTTTTTCCTTTTGCTCTCTTTTTCGCATGTGTAAATATTTTAGTTTTGTCAGGAGGACAGGCGGTCCAGCTGCCAGTTAATTATTCTAAATAATTACTGTTGTTCAGTGTTACTATTGCCACGACATTATTGAGTGAAGCATGCATGGCAGGCCGATGTAATGTAATTACGTGGTACTCCTACAGTTAACCGCTCTTGTAACCTCCTCATCTATAAGCAGATAGAGTGAGTGAGTGATGAAGAGCGAGTCAAATCAGGTCAGGTAAGGTGTCCGTTTCAGCTGCTAGACTAGAAGAATCGATGCCGGAGTGGGCGCTGCGGCATGGCATGCCAGCTTTAGCTTGAGCAACTGTTCGGAACTTTGTGCCCGTGATCAGTTGACAGCGCTATCCGATTCCGGTAATAAATTTACACGTATTTTTGGCCGTAGATTTCCTTGGTCTGCGTTTGGTTGGATAGAGCCGTAATGGGATCACACCGTGAACCATACGGGGCCATGCAAATGCAATTTGGTTACCGCTCTCTCCACCGGGCTATCTGTTGCCGCCACTCCCCGAATGCAAATATGCAATAAATAGCCATCCAAATAAATTGCTCTTTCAGTTGCATGCTAACAGATCACACCATCTCCTCATTGCATTACGGTTGCCGTTCCCACCGCCGAACCAAACAGCACCCAGGTCCAATAATTTCTTCCTAAAAACAAGAAAATTTACAAATCCTAAAATAATATCGAAATGAATAAAGAAGGTCATCTTCGAAGAGTTTCTAATAATCCACTCCTAAAATAAAGAAGACAATTTTACATCAGGAATCCTATACTATTTCTAAATTATCCTAACCATTTTTATATATTCTTTCTCTCTTGTACATTTACATCATGAACCATTTCCTATTCTTTATTCTTTCTATGCCCTTCTACCTTTAGATTGGCCGACAAACACGCGTAGGAGAGAAGATACGCATAACTTTACTTACGCGGACCAGGGTGACTCTTTTCAGGTTCTAAAAGATTAGGAATAGGGATATAAAAAATCAAGTATTAGTAAGAGATTTAGAGAACTCTTGGAGATGCTCTTAATTAGTGTTGGTTCATGCCACAACAGCCCCAGCGCTGCACAAGTAGCACAAATGATCAGTCATATAATCAATCTCCGTAATTTTATTAAGAGTAGAACAATACAAGATTGTTGAGCTTAGCCCCTTCGGTTCTTACAGTTTTGTCACCAAAGCGAAAAATAAATAGTCACCCTCAAGCTCCACTCTGAGAAAACTTTTGACGAGCTAGAACGCCCTCTCACTCTTCAAGTTTTAAGAAGAAAAAAAAGGCTTTTTCTTGAGAAACGGATAGGGTGGTGTAAAGGTTTGCTAAGTACAAGAATTTCTTATGTACGTGCTCTTTAATGGTGTGCGTGGTAAAAACTTGACATGTGTTATTTGGTTGGCTTCTACTGTATGACCGCCTCCAGTGTAGTTCAAACCTAAACCTGATCAAGGAAAACGAAGACAGACATATATATATGCGTTGTATGCGGTGGTGATTCTGAAACACAACAGAAACCCACTTGTCCGCGACTGCCCCTTTGCGAAGGAGTTCTAGGGGGTCTGTTGGAGCACTGCCGAAATACCAGATGCAGACTCACGTTCCCCAACCTCCTGATCCTCCTATGCTGCTGGCATCTTTGGAAACGCAAAAACGCCGTGGTGTTTAGGAAGGAGCAACCAAGCTTGATGATTGCGTGCAAGGAAGACTGTGAGCTCTGGCGACATCGTTTCCCCACCACCAGGCTTCGACTTCGACCGCTATAGCAAACAATTTGTTTTCTATTCTATATATGTAGCAACCGCTCCCTCTCTAGCTTCATTGTTCCCGTTTCGCCAATGGCCTTGTACCAAACCTAACGGACCACGCCTCCGACCATTTCTCAGCTTGCCCGGAGTTAGTGGAAATTATTCAGGTGGGGCCCCTCGACCCCTCCCCCACCCCCCCATGTTTGAATAAAAAAACTTCTATGAGGGGTAATACAAGGATTCCAAATAAAATAAAGCTACAAGACCAAAAGAATGAGAAGTCCTAGCATTATCAATCTCAGAGCTCACAAGACCGCCTTGATCTCCAAATGCCTCCACAAGTTCTATAATCATGTCGACTTCCCTTGGGGTTCACCTAGCTAACATGGAAATGCCTTTACAGAAAAGGGAACCCACCTCAAGGTATAGCACCAGTTGGATCGTTTCTGTGGAGAGGCATAATCAAACTGATTGATTCTTTTAGAATGATAACTTCCTGTGACCCTGGCCCAAGGTGAAACTGTTCTTTTCTAGGAAGACCTTTGGTGTGGCCGCATCCTTAAACAAGCTTACCCACAACTCTTCTTAATTTCCCCATGCATGAAGCCGCATTTCTCACTCGAAGATTTTCTAACAAGACCAGTCAGCGGAACTTTTGGATTCCTCTATCCCCACCTTAGCTTCCGAACTACTGTCAGAAGTACATGAACTCATTCAGAGCAAGCATCTGAAAAATGATCACGGAGAGTTAAGAGACACCTGAACTTATATTTGGGGGGGATGAGGAGTTTAGCTTCAACAAGGCCTACCAACAATTTATTGGCACAACACCCAACTCTCCATTTTTCTCATGGATGTGGAAATATTGCGCAAGGGGAAAGCACAAGTTCTTCTTTTGGCTACCCCTTCATGACAGACCGGACACTAGAATAATATGTTGCGAAGAAACTACATGATCATGCCAAGCTATGAGTGTGTTACGTGCGATAGCAGATAAGAGGATTCTTCACCTTTTCGTCGGCTGCATCCTTGCCACAACCCTACTAGTTTCATTCACATGCTAAGAGTTCCTTTGGAAGTTGCATTTTTAGAGGAATTGCCATGATGTGGCAGCTTGGTGCATGGTGTCTTCGTAAAATCATCTTCGACAATTAGGGATGCAAGCAGTTCTCAAATTTGTAAATAGACTCTTATTCTGTGGGTCACCCAAAAATAAAGTCTATCCGTAGGTTCACGGACCACATCCCTACGCTACATCCATCTCGATCGAGATTAGCTAGAAAGAAATCCTAGCTAGAATGGATAGGGCCTTGTTTAGATGGCAAGTTTTTTTACTTTCTCTTTATCACATTAAATCTTTGGACACATACATGGAGTATTAAATGTAGATAAAAAAATAATTAATTATATAGTTTGATTATAAATTACGAGACAAATCTTTTAAGTCTAGTTAGATCATAATTGAATAATAATTATCAAATACAAACGAAAGTGCTATATTACCGAATACTGAGTCCTTACGCTAATCTAAACGAGGCCTAGATGTGCCGTGGGCGCTCCTAGTACTAGACCGGTGGTCATGCATGGTGGCCCCTCTTGCTCATGCATGCATGGGTCTCTTTCTTGTGCTGTACAACCTGTACGAATGGTGTATATGGATCATCTCTATCAATTCGCTTTGTTGGTTTGTTCGCTACCTTAGGGGTGTTTAGTTCACCCCTAATTCCAAACTTTAACATTATGTAAAAAGAAGATTCTCCGTCACATCAAATTTACGGTACATGTATGGAGTACTAAATATTGACGAAATCAAAAACTAATTGCACAGTTTAGTTGTACTTTACGAGACGAACGTTTTAAGCATAATTAGTTAACGATTGGACAATTATTAACAAATAAAACAAAACGTCGCTGTAGCTACAGTGAACTCGGCGGCGCCGATTCGGCCGAACTAAACGTGGCCTTAGCTTACTACGTTCTCAGCATCACCGATCACCGGCTACTGCTGCTGGTATGGTGAGTCGCGAGTGAGGTAACTAGTCAAAAAGGAAGGAACAACTTCATCAACAGTCCAACACCAAGGTCAGTAGTAGCCTGCAGGTGGCCATGGCGATGGCGCCTCAGGGGCAGGCCGAGCACGAGCACGACCACCGGTCGGAGCCCAACAGCAGCCACCCTGACCCCGGCGCGGCTGCCACGAGCAGCATCGCCACCAACCGGTGGGGGCCCTACTCCGGCGCCGGCGACTTCGCCAGCAACATGGCCGTCATCCTGGCCGCCCTGCTGACCGCGCTGGCGCTCGCCCTGGCGCTCAACGCCGCCGTGCGCTACCTCCTCGGTCGCAGCCGCCGAGCTCGCCGCGGTCGCGCCGGCTCCAGCTCCGGGCAGAGGGACAGCGGCGCCCGCATCTCCGACCCGGAGAAGCCGGCCGCGGAGGCGCCCCCGCCGCCACCGCCGCCTGCCCTGGTGTACTCCGCGGCGGGCACCAAGCTGGCGGGCGCCGCGGCGGAGTGCGCCATCTGCCTCGCCGAGTTCGCGGACGGGGACGCCGTGCGCGTCATGCCGGCCTGCCGCCACGGCTTCCACGCGCGCTGCATCGAGCGCTGGCTCGCGGGGGGCCGCCGGTCCTCCTGCCCAACCTGCCGCGCGCCGGCCGCTGTTGCCGCCGGATCACCTGCGGCGGTCGCGCAGCCTGACGCCGCCAGGTCATCGTCGTCGTGAAAAGGCTCGCTCAATTTGGCCAGCAGCTAGCGGCGCTGTTGCTGTTCTTGGCAGCAGGTGTCGGTGCTTCTCTCTCTTTGCATCTGCAAATATTTTTTCAGCGGAGGAGATCGAGCAGAGGCAGTGTGATTAATAATGTGTTAATCAATCATCATATATATATACGCTGTTAATTGTTTCTTCTGTGTTGCCATGCATTAGTCTCCTTGTTAGTTTCTCTTGCTGCTTGTTAGTGTTCTCCTTTGATCCTGGCCAGCTTGAAGTAGGTGTTGCAGACAAGTTCCTTCATTTTGGAAATGTCTATGTTGATCACAAGTTCACAACAAGCTAACTAAAGTTCATCAATTGAACCAAACCTTGATTGAGTATCTAGCTACTGCTAATATGATAGTATATTGCACACCTGAAACTAAATAATATATATATATATATATCTATACAACTAATACTCCATCCGTTCCAAATTAAAAGCTATGTATCTCGACAAAACTTATATTTAGGTGTGTAGCAAAAGCTATAAATATAGAAAATCAAATCGTCTTATAATTTAGAACGGACAAAATATTAAAGAGCGAAAATTTATCCTTCCATTCTTCACTCTCCCCTGATGGGTCTATCCTTCACTCCCCTAAGCATAAAAGTCATAGCAGTTTTTACTGGGAACTCATGGTCCATGCTCATTGGAGTTAGCATAGTATGCATCTAGTTATGATAAGAGTTTGGTTCTAAAATGTAATCAACTAAGATGAATGAAGCTGTGCATTCTGTTACGATCATGTCTGCTGCTATAAATTAAATAACTATAAGGACGAAACATATATATATATATATATATATATATATATATATGATTTTTTAATATGATTTTGTTCCATTCCGAAAAGGTCATTTTCGTTTTCTAAACGAAGTTTCTCTAATTTTGTTCATTTTTTTGAAAAATATATTAACTTCTATAGTAACATTAAACAAATACATTATGTAGACATATTTCAATTGTTCCATCTCAAGATTATCAGCTAGAAAGCCTGAAATCGATGCAGTGGTCCCTGTACCGCCTGTACGGCATGGCGTGGATCGTCTCTATCCCTTCGATTTTGTTGGATTGCTTAATTACATTCTCAGCGTCATCACGGCCTGATGAGATTAGCTATATTATTGATTGAGAACAATCAATGATCGATACCGTCACTGTGGTAGTTCAGCTGCCGTCATCTTGATTCGTCTACGAAAAATGCGGACGGATTGAATGACAGACACGACTACACGAGTGCTTGCTTGAAATTTACCACGTCGTTTCAGATTCTAAGTTTGTTTTAGTCTGTACTAAATCAAACTTGTTCAATTTAACTACACTTATAGAAAAATATATCAATATCCATAATGTTAAACAATTATATATGCTGTCGACATATATTACATGGTGCATCTCATGAACCTAATTTAATATTATATATGTTTATATAATTTTTCTATAAATTTGATCAAAACTAAAGAAACTTGACTTAGAACAAAACCAAAACAACTCAGCATTTGAAACCGAGGAAATACTCACTGTCCAAAATAACTGCAGTTCAAGAAAACACATGCAAGTATATAAATATAAAGTCTATTCTGAGTGAAACATGCAGATGACAATAACTATCAGCATTGTTGTTATTATATTATTGTCATCATCAGCTGCAGTACCACTCGATCGATCGGTGTCTGGTTGATTCAGTCAGGGTGCGGTGTGTGCGCGCTAGAACATATGCTGGATCCGATGGCCCAATCCATCCATGTCATTTTCGGTCCACCCTCCCCTCCGCCTGGTCCCTCAGGGCACGCGCAACGGAGGCATCCACCCGTGTTGATCACTGATTCACTGGCAACGCGAAGGCTGAAACTCAACATGAAAGACCATGTATATCACTTGGATTGATCAGCCAGGCCGAGCAAATTCATCCAAAACCTCTTCTCCGGCCTGCAGGCTCCTGCCAGCACGTCCTTCAGCTTCCCCATGGAAACGGAATGCAGCCTCTCTTCCAGCTTTCCTTTCACAGCTGGGACTTGCTGCATCCAACAAAACACGCAGCAACTTCCCTGTTAAAACTAAACCCCTGAGAGGGCAAGAATCTATGCTAGCAAATGCACAATACTAAGCAAGCAAGTTGGGTAAAACCAGCTGCTGATTGCCTTTGTTATCCACAGAATGTAGAGCGCTGAAAGCTCTGCTTGGACACGTGACTCCCCAAACTCATCCACAGGGTCATGCAGGCACTCTGACAGCAGTTGTATCTCCTGGATGACAAACATATCCATCTGGGATCTCGTTGAGGGCCAGTTTTCTTCAACAGTGAGCAAGTGCCGTATCCACCAGTGTGAAAGAAACCGACGATGGTTCCATAACGACTGCAGCAATACACCACCGCAGCTAGTATAAACAAACACACACTCGACCAACAAGAATCACAAGTGGGAGAACAACGGCAGGCTAATTTTCAAACCTCTCTCCCTTGGTAGCGTCTGATCAGCATCTCATCCCACCTAAGCTCCTCCTGTCAGGTCATATACAATCAACTTTGCAGCACCGAGATGGGTTGGTATCAATTAACCATTGCCTAAAGAAAAGCAATGTTGTAAAACACAATGATATGCACATGGATCCTTTGTTATCTGTTTTGTATCACATTCATAATGGATAATGGAAAGAGAGGATATGATGCCTGAAGTGATTTCAAATAACTGTAGCGAAAAGTAACTAGCTTTTAAACGAATACACCATACCTTCCATAGCACGCAAATTTCTGACTCCCAACTAAGGGAATCCTCTCCATTCCGGAGGCGGTTGTCTAGTAGTGCAAGCAGCAGGGACTGCAAGGATGCAACAAGGCAGGTAAGTACATGTGTGGTCAATCAGATTGGTTAGCAAACAGGATACATGTGCTATACTGTCTTTAGGAATTTCAACAAACCGAAGTCCAAAAATAACATGAAGTCTAAAGCAGGGTGTGAATTCAAAAGCTCTGCAAATTGGTTTGCAGACATATTGTGCAGCTCTTAAAAGATGCTACTGGTCAATATGAAAATTGTCAAGTAATAAATAATTCTTTGCTTCAAGTATTATACAGTACTAATTACAACCACAGGGAATCTACTAACTCTTCGATAGTGGAAGCAGCAGTTGTCAGCAACATGTAGCTCACTCCATCTTGTTGACTCCTTCAGTTCATCCAGCACCTTCAGAAAACAGAGTATTGGTAACTGACAAGCAGATATTCTGTAGCTAGGAAGTCCGGTTACAAGATTAAGAATAACATAGAAAGAATTTTCAAAGAGTTCGAAGAATTGTTTATCCTCACTTGTTTCCTTGTCATGTAAGGAATAAGCCAACATCGATGCCTCCATGCGCGATAGTTCATTTTCGATTTCTGTAGAAGGCATAAAATTATCTTTGTGCGTACTATCTGTACCTGTACTTGTGTACAAGTTTAATTACCAGTTACATAGACAACATGGAACATTGTAACTTATAATATGGCGAGCTCAGTCAAACTGACACTGTTAGCGGCTTGAATAAGCAAGTATTCATGAGTTATAACCTCTGCTATCTCTTTGACCAGTATGGATTCATTCCCTATAAGCTCCAACATATCTTGATGTTGCTCAGCAACTTGTTTTATCACCCATCTCCTGTGGCAGACAGTTATTTTAAACTCTATGCAGTTTTGTTTTATTATATCAAAATCAGCTCCAAATACATAGGAATTGTCTGAAAGAAAGAGGTCAACAAGAAAGCTGGCTTCAGAAGTGCAAGATGGGGCGTACCTATGGCTCCATGTGCTCTCGTTCTTTGGAGAGTAGGAAAGGATCAAGGCACACAATTGCAGCTCATCCTTGAGTTTTGTGAAATCATACTCCGCTGATAGCACCATCTTCCTGCAGGACCACAAGAAAAGCATGTGGAATCCAATTTCCTTCCCTCCGGTGCATGGAGCTTGCAGTACTCAATTGAAGGAAAGGTGAGAAATGCAACCAAGCACACATTGAGTGACAGGCTGACAGCATTGCATACCTGGAGTTCCATGCGGTGAGTAGGTCGGGGCAAAGTATGAGTAGTGCCTTGGTGTGCCTCAAGAGATGAGTGGGCGATAGTGGGGCATCTCTTGTGTTGCAGTAGGCATCGCGGGCAGCATGGTAAAGCTTGGGGAGGATCTCAGCGGAGATGGCCAGCTTGTGGTCTCGGCACCAGAAGCATCTTGTGTGATGGAACTCTGGAGGTTGGGAGGCGGAGTCGCCATCTTGGGGGCAATCTAGTGAGTAAAATTGTGTCGGGTGCAAGAACCCCACCTCATTGCTGTGAATAGAATATATTTTTTATGGGAAGAAATTAACAAACTCTGGTTTGGGAACTTGAACTGGAATAAACAAATGGGTGAGGAAAAAAAGAGGCATACATGAGGGGGTCATCATGGAGGATTTGCTCAAAGTGGTGGAGGAGATCTTCGGGGAGCTGTTCCTCTCCCCCTTGCTGTTGTTCCGCTGCTGATTCTTGCTGTTGTAATTTCATTGGTCTCTGATTTTCCTTGCGAATGCGCTCGCTCCACCAAACTTGCACACAGGAGAATCAAACCTACAGCGGCAAAGCCGGTGTATCAATACGAGTAGGAGCAACAATTATAGGTTAAAAAAAAACTAGGTTCCAAAGCTAAACCAATAGCGCCGGATCAAATACCTACAAAAACATGCGGTGCTTAATAGTTGTATAACAGACTAGATAAAACATGAAGCGACAAGTGACACAAAAGAACTTTGAGCCTACTGTGTTTGTATATCATTCATTCTCTGTGGATAATTATGGCCTTTTATTTGGTATGGACCCATGAAAATATAGAGTATGCTCTTTAGGCGGCAAGACATCCCAATTGTTTGAATCAATTTGGTCAATTGGTACGCTCCCAGCCAGTTCCTAGTCAGTATTGTTGCTCATTGTACAGGAGGTTGACCGGGTTGTAGTATTACATTACAGATATGGTAGTGTCTTGTTGTCCACTTCAATTTGTAATTAAATTGTAGTGCAACATGTGGCATAAATAAATGTAAATATAACTGAGGATTAGGATGATTAAGAGAAACCACAAGTATAATTTCAACTGAAGTAGAGAAACAATGGATGGGGAATTTCATTAGCTAGGGAAGGGGAGGCAAGCAACAGCAACCTGAAACCCGGCTCTCCTAGACTCCCTACCTCCTTGATGGCCTGGCGAATCGAATCGAGTGGAATCGGCTTAGAGACTCGCCTCGGTTGTCGCCCGTCGTAAGCTCGCTAGCTAGGGTTTCGCCTTTGTGCGTTGGGACTGGGACTTGGGAGAAAGAACAGAGAAGGGGGCGGGCGGCGGGCGAACCGAGCCGCGAGAGCACCCAGCGACAGAGACGACGTGGGTTGGGTTGTCGCAGAGATGGGCCGCGGGGGTTGGATTGTGACTTGGTGAAGCCCAAAGGCTGGACTTGCACACTTGCGGCCTGCTGGTGACACCAGCCCAATTGTACATGCGATTCACCCGCAACTACCTTCTAATGGAGTACATTATTACTCTCAGAGTACAGTTTCATCACTTTATCACTGAGCCACAGAGGGTGTCTCTGGCTGTATGCTATTCATTTTCTGCTAGTAATTTTATTTTGTTAATTTCTAGCTACTTATTATCCAAATCTGCGAAATTAAAGAACAGGGGGTACGTGCCATAAACTGTGAAAACCATGTCATGCATGGTGGGAATTGGGATTCAGAGTTAAATAGGTGCAGGTTGGCTATGAAAACTCAAATGCGTGAACCAAGTACTCTGAAGATTGAAAGATAATAGCAACTAAATTTAGAATTGTCTACAATGTCCATGACTGGAAATTTGGGAAATGGACCGTTGCTGAATGAGAATTCTAGTTTTTCTATAGGGAGATAGGAAGCTGAATGATGGATTGTGTGTAGTTTCGTGTTCACTGGCATGTGCACCTAGGTTGGATTGGGGTCCCTGAAGGGGTTTTTTGTTTTGATGTAAAAAAAAAAAGAGAGGATGCAGTCTGCTAGGTGAGGACGGCATCAATCAAACAACTCTCAAGACAAGATGCAGCCAGCACAGAGCATCATGGCATGTTCAGGTCAGATCAGTATTTGTCACTAGTGCTGGATCAAACCAGCATATACATTGGATGCAGTCTTTGCAGAATCTCTCTGCATTACCTTCATTCATCATTCTCCACTCTCTGAAACAGCTGTCCATGCATGTTAACTAACTTGAGCAGCAGAGTGCATGTTACCATGTGTTGGTAATCTTGAGGCACTGGAAATTTGGAGCTAAAAACATTTATATTTATAACTCATTGGTGGTGGTACACCATCATACATGTACAACTACAGGCTACATTATTACATATGTAGCCTTGCCTTGCATCGACGTGGCGTCTTCCACTGGATACCTACTAGTACAACTGGAAGCTAGGCCTCGACGAGCGATAAATTGCCAGGAATAGTAGCAATCAGAAGAAAGAAGAAGAAGAAAAAAAGCAAAAAATATGGCAGGGAAATAACAAAATTTGAGAGGCAAGCAAGGAAAGAAGGGAATTGATAGATACAAGAAGATGCTTTGCTATGTATGTGTTCAAAAAATTGGGTGCAGTGGTGGGTTGGATGGACGATGGATCATCAGCCGCAGCATCATCAGATGTCCGTGACCATGTAGTTGTGGTTGTAGGATGAGTCCATCTCGTGGACGACGAGCTTCTTGGCCGTGACGCGCGCGGCGGTGGCATTGTTGAACAGAAACACGCCGGCGTTGGCGTAGATGGCCTCGGTGGGGTAGACGCGCGAGGTGGCGGTGGACCTTCCGCCCTGCGCGAAGCTCTCGACGATGGAGTGGTCGACGAGCACGCGGAGCGAGAGCGTGGTCTCGTCCTCCAGCACGGGGACGGCGCTGCCGACGACGCGCTTGACGATGTCGTTGGCGCTGGAGGAGCGGGACTCGTCCTGGCAGAAGTGCGTGGTGAGCGAGCCGTCCAGGCCCTTGGCCACGTAGAAGTAGACGGCCGTCTGCTCGTGGAGGTGCTTGTCGGCGAGGACGAGCAGGCCGAAGGGGCCCAGCGCGCCGCGCGCCGCGGCGCCACCGCTCGTGCTGCAGTTGTACCCCACGTCGGCCTCGTTCAGCGACATGACGGCGCGGCGGTCCAGCTCGAACTCCGCCTCGATGTCGAGCTGCGTGGCGCGCCGGAGGTTGAGTGGGAACGCGGAGCCGTAGTCGATGGTGATGCCGCTGAGGTCGGTGGAGTTGGTGCGCAGCGTCTCCACTTCCTCCACGGGCCACTGCAGCAGGTTGCTGCCCGTCTTGGTGTCCAGCAGCACCGTCCGGGGGATACCCTGCACTCGTTCACATCAATCAATCAACAAAATTAGTATTACTACATACGTCGTATGTTGTTAAACAATTATTAATATCTACTGGTACTTGTTTTAGTTTGTATTATTGGTATTAATGAAACTCAATGTATGTATATACTGTGCACTATACACTAGAATACAAATGCATGCATAATCAAGATTGCTAGATAGGTGTCCATGAGCTAGCTGGGTGTGGGGTTTATACTCTTGTCGCGCATATATAGTCGTTCGTTCGTTCACCTATTGATTGGCAGCATTATGCTGCTGAATTATTCAATCAATAGCGATATACAAGCAGACAAGGCCGCCCTTTTTCTTGTTTATAAAATAAAACAAGGCAGCCCTTTTTCCTGTATACAAAATATAATCAATAATCCCAGCCTAACATAACTAACTAGTTGGGTAATGCCAGTGCTGCAAGGCGACCACAGCACATGGTAGCACATGTGCTTCAACCACTAGTCTACTCCAATATAGCAGCACCAACAGCAACAGGTAGGTAGCCCACTGTCTCTAATGTTTTTTTGTTTGGAGATGGACCCAAGAAACGGTTGGCCCAGCAAAGCATGGGCGGGAGATGCATGATGGCGACACGGTGTAACCCAAGAGACCACAAGATTTCCTATCTTCGAAATAATTTTGCATTCCTACGTGTCTCCTCTGTGGATCCCAGGCCAGGCCAAAAGTGCACAAGAAATGAATAGAAAAAGAAGAAGAAGAAGAAAGAAATACAGGAGAAAACGATGGGTACCTGCAGCGATGCCCATCCCTTGGAGACGTCAGCGCGCGCCCGAGTCGGTCTCGCCGACCCACCCCAGAGCACGCGGCGGCGCTTGGCCGGGTCGTAGAACGTCTTGGACGCGTAGAACTTGCCCCAGTCGTAGCGGAGCCCGATGCCGACGTCCTTCTCGGCGTCGAGCGGCGTCCACGCGTTGGCGGCCGCGTCATACCTCCTGAGAGCGTAGTAGTCATGGCGGTCGTCGTCCATGCTCGCCTTCATGACGTGCACCACGTCCCCGACGACGGCGCCGTTCTTGCCGAAGGCGTCGGACATGTCGACGCCGTTGCCGGACGCCTTGCCGCGGGTGGCGACGGGGTAGAAGTCGATGCACTCCCACATGCCGGTGCCCGCGACGCGGTGGAGGCGGCCCGGGAGGAGTTCGAAGTGCACGAAGTCCTTGGTGCGGTACACCACGGCGATGCCGCCGTGGTCGCCCTCGGCGTCGTCCTTGGAGCCGATGACGATGCGCCAGGTGCCGTCCGACGGGTCGAACCACGCCGTGGTGGGGTCGCGGAAGTCCTTGGGCCCGATCCCCGGCGGCGGGTACAGCACCGGGTTGCCCTCGTACTTGGTCCAGCTGGTGAGCAGCGGGTCGGCGTCGTCGGCGGGGACGGCCAGGCACTGCACCTGCACCGAGGCGTTGGTGGAGCCCGTGTAGAGCATGGCGAGGCGGCCGTCGGGGAGCGTGGTGGCCGACCCCGTCCACACGCCGTTGGTGTCGTACCACCGGTCGGGCACCATGGCTAGCGGGAGGTGCCGCCAGTGGATCAGGTCGCGGGAGACGGCGTGGCCCCACGCGATCTTGTTGCCCCAGATGGCGCCGTCTGGGTTGTACTGGTAGAACAGGTGGTACCAGCCCTTGTAGTACACCGGCCCTGCAAATGCCATCAGTTATCAGATCAGGTTAAGATAGCTTACCACGCACAAAGCTGGATGATTAATAATCAATCAAACATGCATGAAAATATATAGATTCAAACTAAAATAGTACACCGGCCCTGCGTAATTTCGGTTGCATGCCATCAGATCAGGTCAAATTCACAGCTGCATAATTAATCAAGCAAACATGAAAATCGATATATATGTATATGTTCATAGATTTGATCGAATTTTACTTTTCGAAGAATGAACATAGTTTTTACTCTATAATATAATATAATGTTACGAAATGAGTGGCCCAAGCCCAAGGACGACGACGACTAGGCCCCCGCTAAGGGCCCACGCACGCACGAGAAGGGAAAAAAAAGCGCAATAAACAACGGTAGGTTTTGGTGGTTGCATTGCATGGAATCCCGGGCCTTCCGGGTATCCAGAATTTGTATGTGGATGAGCAAAAAAAAAAGGGGTGCGTGCACGTGGGTCCTAGTGCCTCGTTGGATCAGCACGTGAAGGGAAATGAAGGGCGAGAGCTGAGAGTGAAGGCTAGGCTGTTTTTGACTTGATTGAGTTCGATTGATGGAGTTTAAATCGATCTAATCTCACAAAATGTTCAGTTGGATGCAATGCAAATGCAGCGGTGATGATTTGTACTAATCTGCATGGATTTGAACAGAAATCGAAATGAATGAATAAATAATGCGGGCACACACACACACGTACCATTGGGGTCGTTCATCCAGTTCTTCTGCGGCTGGAAGTGGAATCCCGTGCGCTGCCACTGCAGCATCGCATTGCTCCACGGGAACGCGTTCCCGCCGCCGTCAGCACGGAGCCTGCCGCCATCGTCGACGACGCCGCTCGACGCGCCGGACGTCTTCTCCGACACGCCGGCGTCGGGGCCCCTGCTGATGCTGCGGCTCCTCGTCGACGAGGTCGTCGCCGGCATCCCGACGCTGACGCCGGCCGTCTCTCCCACCGCGGTCGTTGGGCGGGGGACGACGGCGACGCGGAGGCCGACGCCGGCGAGCGCGGCCACGGCGAGGAGCAGCGAGGCGGAGAGGACGAGCGCCGCGGCGCAGAGGGACCTACGCCTGCTCCTGCCGCCGGTGCCAGTGACCTCGGCGGACGCGGCGTCGGCGGCCGGCAGCGGCGTGTACGAGTAGGGGAGCGGCGCCATCGTGTCCCGGGTCTGCATTGCCGACGGAAGAGGATCGGAAGGAGGCCGCCGGCCGAGTTGTGTTACGGTTACGACGGCGGCGATGAGGGAGGGTGGGAGGGAGAGCAGGCATAGGCATTGGGGATCCTATCCTATTTATAGTTGGTTGGATCGGTGCCTCCGCTCTCCTCTCCTCTCATGCCGCTCTCTCCTTCTTCCTCTCCTCACCTCTGACGGGTCGGATCGGGTCCGGGCCTGATGCTGTATTCGACATCCGATCCGATCCACCTCCAGCTTTTTTTTAGCAAAGATCCACCACCTCCAGCTGTGATGCTGTCCAGCACATGGCACCGCCCCATTCGACTAATTATTTCTCCATCTGTCTGTCTCCTGGGGCCCGGCCCGGCCCGTGTTATTCGATCCCATCCCATCACCGTTTCCATATGCATACTCCTGCTCGTACACGACAGTCGACAGCCACGCTAGTATATACGTGCTCATGTTCCCTAGTATTTGTACCGCGTGCGTACAAGAATACGCTAACATGCATGCATGTTCAGTTGTACTCCAGAAACGGTAATTTCGTTTGTCTCGTGGTAATGAAATTCGGATTCGTCGTTGTGAAAAAAAGACGGTTGACAGCCAAAATATATAGGCGGTCTCAAGAAAATATGGCTTACCCGAGTTTAAAAAAAAGTAGACGACAACATCACTTCTTTTGGTACACAGGACGCTTCTCAAGTAGTTAAACAATTACTAGATTTTGAGCACGGTAATTAAGGATCTGTTTGGTTTGGTGGCTAACTCCCAACCAAGCTCGGAAAGCTAATTTGTAGTTGTTTAGTTGCATGTAAACAGTCCAAAGCCAGGCTTAACTAAGCCACTCCACATGCTCTAGCCTGGCTTAGAAACGAGACAGGATCCGTTTTTTCATGGCCAGGCTTAGGGAGTGTTTGGATTCCGTGACTAAAATTTATGATGTGTCACATGAGGATATCGTATGGGATGTTTGAATACTAATAAAAAAATAAATTACAGAATCCGTCAGTACTCCACGAGAATTAATTCGTCATTAGCACGTGTTTACTGTAGCACCACATTGTCAAATCATGAACTAATTAGATTTAAAAGATTCGTCTCGCAAATTAGTCGCAAACTGTGTAATTAGTTTCGTAATTAGTCTATATTTAATACTCCATGCATGTGTCTAAATATCCGATGGGACAACGATTGAAGTTTAAGAGGAGGAACCAACACCCCCTTACCTAAGTCGCCGCGTGAAGTCTTAGTCACTCCTCTCGCCTTCTTCCGCCGCCGCATAGCACCGTGGCCGGCGTGGTGACGGAACGCGCCCGCGAACGGCGCCCGTCTTCATCCGCTAACTAGCAGCTGCGACTTGTGTAGTCATAATTAATCCAATAATCCGATGACCACAAATAATTGAGCGGAGAATCGATGCTGATGCATGGTTTAATTCCAACTCTCTCGCTCTTCTTGGTACCAGCCTGCCAGCATGGTGCCTCGTCATCAACTATCCTCGTCAGCGCTGCATGGGTGGGGGGTGGATATGTATTAACCTACACCTTCTTGCTTCACCCAAACTACGTACCTAACCTGCTATCCAGAGGATTCGTCGAGATTGGAGACCTGAATTGTTCTTCGCATTCAAGACACTAATTAATTAATTAATTAGCCTTTTATTTGCATGAAAAAATAGGCAGAAAAAAGTCGGAAAACCGTGGAGACGCAAACACACACACACGCACACGTACACTCGCATGTATGTAAATCCTACCGCTACGAACATCATACATATATACCCATACTCACTCACCCTATGATCTATAAACGCTTCACGTTGTAAAACCGAGGACTTGAATCCAAGCATGCTGTCTGGGATTATTTCTTCCTGCTCATTTAATTTTAGGCAACGTGCTTTTGTTTGTATGTTTCCTCAACTTTATTTGTATTCAACTCCTCTCTTTTTTCTTCTTCTTCTTCTTAATGAAATACAGAAATACTTGCTGGTTTGTTTGGTCACGCATGCCAGCCAAGTGGCGGCATTACCTGGTGACCACCATGCATGCATGATATACACAATGCTTGCATGCCTGGTCATTGACCATCCGATCCTAGCAGCAGGGCATGCATGGATTAACAATGTTAAATGAAGGGAAGGAACAAATAATCAAACATGTGTCATCGTCTTGGAGCTAGGCATGCTTGATTGTGCAAATAGGCCGGGAGTAGCTATTTTATTGCACCAACCAAAGCCCGAAAATAGAAGCTAGTAGATGGAGAGAGAAGCAAGTCAAGCATCGCAGTGCAACAATGGGATGACCAGACGAGGGAGATGGATCGAGATACATCGTCATGCGGACAAATGCATGCATGTGTTTGGAAGAAATTCATTTCGTCCTTGTTGCCGACTCAGCATGCATGGGGGCAGCTACATCTACCTAGTAGGAGACAGGAGGTACAATAATGCATAGAGGGACCGGCCATCCATGAATTCCATCCATCGGTCTCTCATCGATCGATAGAGGGACCGGCCGGAGTCCCTGCTCTCCTACGCTAGCAAGAGCCTGCCTAGAGGGCGCCACCAGCAGAGCAGGCAGGTGACCGATCGATTGAGTGGCCACCATGCAACATGCATGCTATGGAATTGGTGTCCGGCAGCTGCCACGTCGTCAGGTCAGTGTACTCGATCCCGTCCATTATTTCATCACGGACTCCACCAGAACCAAGACACGTCCGCACTTTTGATTGCACGGCACGGCACGGCGCCCCCACAAAACAGCTGACAATAATATGACACTGCGACATACTTGTAAACGCGTCTATCCGTCATACACTGTTGATGCTACTGCTACTGTTGAGATTACATCTTCCGGTTATAGATCGATCAGACACCAGGAGCGCACAGCTAGCATACCAATATTTTAGTTTTATCTCAAGTTAAACTATCTTAGACTTAGCTTTTTTAAAAAAAAAAAAAGCACTCGTACATTACCCTCTTCGTTTCAGATTATAAGACGTTCTGGCTTTTCTAGATATATGCTATGTATTTAGATATACACCAATCACCAATGACTATTTGCAAGGTTATTTAGTGTTTTTTTTATAAACACAAGGAACTTTTTTTCGATAAGGAAAGCTTTATTAATTTTAAAGATCGTTACATCGAGATGGTACAAAGACTTTAAAACACTTCTGGCCTCTGTATAACAAGGATACACACATCCTTACAAAATATCTTAAAACAGAAAGACACACCAAGAACTCTCAATCCTAATTTTGTTGACGCCCTCGCACATGAGTTGCTTGCGGTAGCGATGCATACACGCCAAATAAAGATCTTGGCCACCGCCCAATTGGTGGTTGCTTTTTGTTTCCAGGTGTCCGGCGGCTGCCAAATCAGTGCACACTGCGCGGTCTCATCTCCATGTAGTATTACTGTGTTGCTACTCGGCCAAATTAAAGACACGTCTTCATGCACGCTCATTGATGGCAATATTATCGATGATGCTGACGTCGCTGAGAATCATGCAGCAACTGTGGTCATAAACGCTTGCTTGCAGTGCCACTCCCCCGTTCCATGATTCCGTTCTACCTGTGTGCATGCTGACGTGCCACTTGCTATAGTACATTTATTAGTTTCTTCGTGGGCTAATCTGAAAACATGTCAACTTAATTGATTACTGGGACGGGACGGGTTGAAAAACATACGTAAGCCGGAGATGTAAAAAAGATTGTACCACTTGACTTTACATAAAAGTGTAACTTTGTTTAGTTGGGAAAAGAGTGGGGTACAAATACAACTGGGTCATCTTATCATCAACCAGAATTCTTAGTTGGTCCGGTGAAAACAAACTTAATTAAGATCGTTTTTATTCGCAAGCGATAATAAATAACAAAAAAAAGAGAGAAAAACATCTGGTGTTGTATTATTGTCCGGCAAGTGATGACATAACTATTGGTTGTGTGCAAACCTCTTACAGAGGCCGGAATACAAATTCCTTTTTTCTAAAAAAAAAGTGATGACATAAGTTACTTGCTCTAGAATCTCTTGGGGGGAGGGGGGAGGGCGCTTATAGTTAGATAGATGAACAAACCACAAGAAGAAGAGGGAAAAAAACCATTATTGTGCGCGGTCCATCTTCTTCTTCTATCTAGAACGATGAACGAGAAGAACGACGTCAACACCGGGCGATCAGCGTCGCCTCCTTCAATTATGCTGGCGACTTCGCAATCACGCCACGTGGATCATCAGAACAATAATGCCAGCCCCGCTTGTTAGCTTGTCCGCTTTTTCATTCGTCTTGTGGTGTTGGTGGATCGAAGAGGCTCTGTCCGATTAGCTCATGGCGTCTGCAAACTCCACGTGGATCATGATTTCAGCTTAATACAGTAATAATACTGGTCGAGCTAATCCGATCGAGTTTTCTCAACCTCAAACGTTTTCCTTGCTCCAGTATATATAAACACTGTCCCAATGCAAACAAACGGAAAAAAAATTGAGGCCGGCTACCTTTGCTGTGACTGTGATGGATCGACCACTGCACCATGCATGGCCTTGAAAAATTCAGCCTCCCTCGCTCTAGTATCTTCCCATTTTTATCTATTTTTTTTCTCTCTCTCTCTATTTGCTGACGAGCTGGCTGGTGGAAGCATGCATTTCACATGACTCTTTGACAGCTGACCGATCAACCCGCCGAGAACAGAACAGTGATGAGGCGCTGACTTCGAGTGACTGACTGACGGAACTGAACCCGTGACCCACATGCATCCCCAACTCATCTTCACTTGAGGCCAGGGCCAGCGATGGAGACCGAGAGCTCTCAGCTCCAACTCGGCATGGGCGCATGGCATGGCGTGCATTATTGTTGCCATGTCAGCAATGACAGAGCGACAGACAGTGAGTCCGGTCCGGGCCGGGCCCCTCCAATAATTCGGTGTAGGAGTGAGTAGTACTTACATGGTGGACAGACAGACACGCAGCGCAGTGCCGGGCCCGGGCCGCTGCGTGTCGGGCCCGG